GTATTAAACCCACTAGATTTGTAAAAGACTATATTGTATCAAAGCTTACTAGGATAACGATCATTTAATAAAGGTTCCCAAAAGCATGTAGTTTATAGATCTTAACTTTTCTTATGGTTTTATAACATTGGTCATATACATATCACCATATTTATATCAAAACTAGAGAATACCGCAACTTGTGCAAATAATAATTTATCCTTAACAATAAGGTGAAAAACCTATAGTTATTTGTGGAATAAACAAAATTTGACTTGTATCCCCCCCCCCCCCCATAAAACATAGAAAAACTTGAAAATGTGGGGGTATGAAGCTCACCTTGAGTTGGTTAATGAGTGGATTGGAGTGATGGAGTGAAGATCTCAAGCCTAAATTCCTTGGATGAATGGATGAACTTCCTTGGAAGGAATGTTATCCTAAGAGCTTTTATCACATATTATTATGTGTAAAATAATATGAATCTATCATGAAAGTGATGTAAAATACTAGATTAATGGGATAACCTACCAAGAAGAAAAACTCTAAGGAAGCTTGAGGAGTTAAGCTTTTAGCAAATTCTTACTCTTGTTCTTGATATGGAATATATATATATATATATATATATATATATATATAGAGAGAGAGAGAGAGAGAGAGAGTTTGTTTGGAGAATAAGAGAAATGGTGGGGGTTTGAACTTTTTGCTTACTGTCGTTATTAAAGGGGTAAGGAGGATGTAATATGTGCTTGGAAATCTGAGGTTAAAACATTGTTACTTGATGGGTAATTCATGGGTTACTGTGACTTGCATGGAGAATGGGGAATTACATCAAATCATAAAGTCAACCCCTTATTCTTGTCTTATTCACATCTCATGATTTAAAATAATACCTTTATAAATCTTAAATATTATTTTATGTAAATATGTTTTAAATATTCAAATTTGGCATAAAATAGGGGTTTAAGGGGTCCAGGTTATGAAAAATACGAGTTTGGTGGGATTCTCGACGTCAAAATATCTTAAAATGACGAAATGGTCCGAAATGGTCTAAAATCCAGAGTCAAATGATGAATTCCGGAGTCAATCTTCAAATTCCGGAGCCAAACCATGAGTTCCGGAGTTTCTCTTTATGTTCCGGAGTCGAGGGTTGCAAAGTCAGCTTCTTTCCGGAGTGGGTTCCTTTCGAGATTGCGAAGGTTCCGAAGCAGCGAAGGCTTTCGGTCCAAAGTTGCGAGATTGCCCGGTTCCTTAAGAAGGCTCGGAGTCACTTAAGAGGTTCCGAATCCGGAGGTGTTTCGGACCAAGAGAGTTCTCGACTAAGAAGAGAGGCTCCGAGAATGAATAGTGTATTCCGGAATGGGCTGTTTTCGACAATGGGAGAGATTTGAGATACATGGAGAGATTTGGGAGAGATTTGAGATACACACAGGGACATATCTTCTTGGGGGCCAGGAGGGGCTATGCCCCCCCTGTTTTTTTGTCATAATTAGTCCTTTAAGTATTAAATTTTTTACATATTAGACCCAAAAGCTATAAAATTTGGCTTTGGCCCCCCCTGTTCTCCAATTTTCATACTTATTTACTTTCGGCCCCCCCAAAGAAAAAGTTCAAGCTCCGTCACTGGATACACAAAGAGATTTGGGAGAGATTTAAGGTACATAGAGAGATTTGGGAGAGATTTGAGATACATAGAGAGATTTAGGAGAGATTTGAGATACATAGAGAGATTTGGGAGAGATTTGAGATACATAGAGATATTTGAGGTACATAGAGAGATTTGGGAGAGATTTGAGATACATAGAGAGATTTGAGATACATAGAGAGATTTGGGAGAGATTTGAGATACATATACTTTGTATCATAGTTGTAAAACATACACCAGGAAACATAGTCTTAAACCTTAATGTATTAGTACAATTCGAGTTGCCTGGGTTTACTTGTTGACTTTGTTTGAACTAGACTTGCCGGTTGTCACAATCTCTGTCTCTATCACTTTCACACCTCCAAATCAAACACCATCAATTTTCTTCTTGATTCAAACCTACAAATCGAGAGTATTCTTCTTGCTTCATACTTGCAGATATAGAATCAAACAAAAGCCCATCACCATATGTTTATCGTTTTTCTCTATCCCCTGTTCGATTATACATGATCTGAGAATGAATGATCCAAAGAAACAAAACAAACACACAAACACTCATTGCAACAAAACACACATACATACACATACATACTTCTTAGGATGAAGAAGCTTCACTTTTTGGGTTCTTAGCAGACCGCAAGAGACCATTCGGGAAACAATAAGAGGTATATTCAATTCGTTTCTTTCAATTAGAGTTTCGGTCATGTAATCGAACATCATGTCCACATCTGGATAACCATTCCATATTTGGGTATATATTAGAGCTTCGATTTTGTTTTTGGTGTTTTTTTGGTTCTAGAAACGAAAACCACACACAAAATCAAGGGTTATTCTGGAGCTTTTCCCCAAAAAGCTGTGTTGTTCTTGAGTTTTAAAAACAACATCAGAAATCTGTTTGTGTATGTATTTAGAAACGAAATCAACATTTGGTGTTATATTTGATGGCTTCCAATACCCGACCCTTCCCTAATCACCGATTCATAGAGAACAAAGGATGGATGAACCCGTTTAATAGAAAACCTCCATCGATTGATTACAGATAATAAGCACAAAATCGGATTTTGAAGAAAGAAACGATTCGGAGAACCTTCTTGAAATCTAGATACCCACTGCAAAGGTGAGCGACATTCCAGATCTGTAAGAAAGTGGCAGTGAGGAACTGATGGTGAGCTTTTGATATATATTTGATTTGAGCATGAGTAAGGATGATTGCTCAAACCTTGATTTCTGATCATGGTGTTGATGGTTAATTTATGGTAGCTGGAAGGAGAGATGGTGGTGAGGAGTTGGGTTTTATGAAGAAGACGAGGGTATTGAAGAAGATGATGGTGGATTGTATCTTTAGGTATTGAAACTGGAGAGAGAGAGAGAGAGAGAGAGAGAGAGAGAGAGAGAGAGAGATTTTTTTTTTTTTTTCTTTTTCTTTTTTTGACACCTGTAATAAAAAAATTGAAAAAGGGAAAATACCAAGGGCAAATCCGTCATTATAAAAAGTTTTAAATTTTTTAGACTAAACTCGCAACAAAACGAAACTATTGGACCATCATTGCGAGCCAAACCCATTTTGGACCAAAGTTGCTAGTTTTGACATATCACAGGAACCATTCTTGCAATTTTGTCTTAAAAAATCAAAGGCAAATAGTATTTTTAGGTAAGATAGGGACCAAACGCGCAAAAAAAACAAATAATAGGGACCATTTGTGTAATTTACTCAAAAATGATAGATTAACCCAAAGAGAAAATAGTATACATACAAGAACAGGTCCTTATAAATTGATAGATCATGTACGGTCATGTCATGTTGTTCATCATTGTTAATCATTTTTTACTATAAAAAATCTTGATGATGGTAGAATATTGACAAATTATAACAATCAAAAATGCGGTAAGAAATGTTTTATTTACGAGAGAATTGAAATATTAATCTGTTAGTATAAACAACATTTTTGTGTTCTTTAACGTTAGTATTCATCTTAAACTGTTAAACACATAGAATAACAACAATAGGGAAACCGAACACCAAAAGTTGGTATCGACTATGAGCCAGTATACTAAAAAATGTTGTTGTATTAAAACACAATCAAATTGAGATGACAAAGAATGATCGACTTGGAATGAAAAAGAATCACATTGCAATAATTAAACAAGTACATACATATATAGTCTCCAAACCCCTTAAATATATGGAAATGGTCATATAGCGATTTTTTTAACGATGAACATTTATGTCTGTCTGGTTGACCAGAACGTCAGGAGCATGCAAAACATTACTACCCACGAAGAAATAAGTGTTTGTTCATGCTTAGTGATTTTTATTTGGTAGGAACAATTGAATTATCTTAAATTATCCTCATGAAAAATAAAAGAGAAATTAAATGTCTTTTTATTTTTATTTTTACTTATTTTACTATCCATTTGAAATAATTATAACTGTCTTAAAATGTTATTAATTTTATCAAAATATAACACTTGTTAGCATTTTATATTAGTAAGAGGATAAATACGAAAAAATATAGGATGATATTTAATCTCTCAAAATAAAATATACATGTAAATGTTTATGGATATTTAATTTCTCAAAATAAAATATACATATAAATGTTTATGGATATTTAATTTCTCAAAATAAAATATACATATAAATGTTTATCAACGATTCTACTAGTCAGAAAAGATGTTATTGCGAGTTTGTATGCATTTATTCATGGTAATTATGTTTCTTTCGTTAGATACCAAAAAAAACATAAAGATATATTTCCATATCTTATGATTATTTTAGTAAATAACTTTATATCTTATCCATATATATATATATATATATATATATATATATATATATATAATTATTTTAGTAAATAACTTTTCCTTTTACACGATATGATATTGATTTGATGCCTAATGAGAGTCATTCTAATATTTGATTTGATTTATTTTTTTTGGAACAATAAATCTAACTTATTCCGATTAAATTACTCTTAGACGGGACTTGAACCTGCTGGGCTAAAAGCTTTTTGGTATATTTGATTTATATTTACAACAAAATCTAATGCTAAAATTTTAAAGTAAATCAAAATAAACATATTAAAATTCTTTTTTTATAATATAATATATCACCTTCACATAGATAACGATACCAAATAGACACACAATTGTCTCTCCCACATAAAAATGTGTTTAATCTTGATTGATTTATCAGCAACATCTTGGTAATAAATAAATATTAAAAGGATCAATAATACAATTAACGTCATTGTCACGTGCATACTGGCCTTATTGTATTTTTTTAGGTAATAAAACAGAAGGTTTGTTTTTTTTTACTTTTAGATATTTTTTGTCACGTGATGACCGTCCCATCAGTTTGCTATAAAATACAATCCATCGTCTTCTCCAAAGTTGCCCCTGCTTCACTTGCTGCTTCTTGGCAGTGAAAAACCTTTCTTCTCATACCCCAACAAGATCCGACCCTTTTAGTGTTCGGATCACTCCTACATTTCCGATTCATTCTTCGGTTTTGGGTAATCATCCCTCTCTCTCTCTCTCATTATTTGCTTCATGATTCCATTCATACGCACAGATGCACACACAATTGTGAAGATCTTCAAATTTGTGTTTTGACTGTGAACTTTTAATGGTTTAAAACCGCATTGTTGCTTCGAAATTTGTGTTGTCGTTTAAGGGTTTTTCGATCCATTGACATTATGCACATTCTGTTTACTAGGTCGATAAATCCGTTTAGTGTTTATGCATGCATTTATATGAAACTACTTTTTCTTTCGCCTTTGTATTAAATCCGTTGCAGATTAACAATACGAAAGGCTTAGAAAGGGTGCAATTCTTTTAGGGTTTTAGGGTATTCAAGCAATTACAAGCTTCTTACGTATGTTGATGCTATCGTTACTAATTACTTCGAATTTGAGCATACTTCCTGTTGATTTGGAGATTTTAAAAAGAATGTTTTTGAGCTTGCTTGTAGAGTGAATAACTCACCTGCTCCTCTCTCTCTCTGGTCCCTAATTCTGATAAATTTACTGTTGCTTGTGTTTACTATACATGGATCTACATTTTACAGCGATTTTGGAAGTATTTGTTTGAATGTTTTTGGGTGGATGAGTGAGAAGGGAAATCTTATAAAGATATTTATCCTGTTTCCTGAAATGCTTTAAAATCTCATATTGCCGTACAGTATTTATTGTTCCAATTTATTTTGAATCATTGCTATTTCTATTTTTATTATTACAGTCAAGTTTCAATTTATTACTAAAAGTACACCAATTTATTGCATACTTTCATTGTTATCTGTATCCATTTCATTACATAACATGAAGTAGCATTCTTATTCTCGGATCTCTTACCAATTTACTCACTCATGTTTCAATTTATGACTAAAAATATACCAAGTTATGCATACATTGGTAAGAAATCAACTGTATTGCATAGATTGGTAACAAATTGAAACATTGCTGCATAAAGTAGTAAAAAAATCTTCCATTCTTGTGCTCTATTTGATTATTTTAATGTTACAGTTGATCATCATCTCCTGAAATGGCGGATCTTGAGGCCCCATTAGTGCGCCCCAAGAGGAAGAAAGTGTGGGTGGACTATTTTGTTCAATTTAGATGGATTCTTGTCATCTTTGTTGTCCTCCCAATCTCTTTCACTCTCTACTTCCTCACATATCTTGGAGATGTAAGATCCAATTGGAAGTCCTACAAGAAACGCCAAGAAGAACATGAAGAAAATGTGAAGAAAGTTGTGAAACGTCTCCAAGAAAGAAACCCATCAAAAGATGGGCTTGTATGCACAGCAAGAAAGCCATGGATTGCAGTTGGAATGAGGAATGTTGACTATAAACGTGCTAGACATTTTGAAGTTGACCTTTCTGCTTTTCGCAACATTCTTGAAATAGATCAAGAAAGAATGATTGCAAAATGTGAGCCTTTGGTCAACATGGGTCAAATCACACGTGCTACTGTCCCCATGAATCTTGCACTTGCTGTTGTTGCTGAGCTGGACGATTTGACAGTTGGTGGGCTTATAAACGGGTATGGGATTGAAGGAAGCTCTCATTTATATGGTCTTTTCTCTGATACTGTTGTGGCATATGAGATTTGTCTTGCAGATGGGAAAGTTGTTAGAGCCACAAAAGATAATGAGTATTCTGATCTCTTTTATGCAATTCCATGGTCTCAAGGGACTCTTGGATTTCTCATGTCTGCTGAAATCAAACTTATCCCGATTAAAGAGTACATGAAGTTGACCTATAAACCCGTTAGAGGCAACGTGAGAGATCTCGCAAAAGGGTATATTGACTCTTTTGCCCCTGGGTTTGGGGATGAGGACAATGAAATGGTTCCCGACTTTGTGGAAACCATGATTTATAATCCTCATGAGGGTGTTTGTATGACGGGTGTATACGCGTCTAAAGAAGAGGCAAAGATGAAAGGGAATAAGATTAATAGTGTTGGGTGGTGGTTTAAGCCATGGTTTTATCAGCATGCTCAAACTGCACTTAAGAAAGGGGAGTTTGTGGAGTATATTCCAACTAGAGAGTATTATCATAGACACACGAGGTGTTTGTATTGGGAAGGGAAGCTTATTCTTCCATTTGCAGATCAATGGTGGTTTAGATATTCTCTTGGATGGTTGATGCCACCAAAGGTTTCTCTTCTTAAGGCTACACAAGGTGAAGCCATAAGGAATTATTATCATGAGATGCATGTTATTCAAGATATGCTTGTTCCTCTTTACAAGGTTCCTGATGCCCTTGAGTGGGTTGATCGTGAGATGGAGGTACAAATACACATCTTTTTTACAAAAAGATTGTTAATTTTGAAACAAGATTATTGTTTTTCACCAAAAGATTGTTGTTTTTCTTAAAAAAAAGTTTGTTTCCCAAAAAGATTGTTGTTTTTCTCAAAAAGATTATTTATTTTTCCAAAAAGATTGTTGTTTTTCTCAAAAAGATTGTTAATTTATACAAAAAGTTTGTTATTTTTCGCCAAAAGATTGTTAATCTACACAAAAAGATTGTTCGTTTTCACACAGAGATTGTTATTTTCACCAAAAGATTGTTAACTTTTACACAAAGATTGTTACTTTCTACAAAAAGATTGTTCTTTTTCACCAATAGATTATTATTTTTCTCAAAAAGATTGCTGATTTTGACAAAAGATCGCCCCTTTTACAGAAAGATTGTTATTGTTCACCAAAAGATTGTCATCTTTACATAAGAATGTTAACTTTTTTACAAAAAGATTGTTGATTTTTACAAAAATACTGTAAATTTCTCAAAAGATTGTTACTTTCTACAAAAAGATTATTATTTTCACCAAAAAGATTGTTAACTTACAAAGGGTATCTAACTAACAATCACCATAAACCACACAGGTGTACCCCTTATGGCTGTGCCCACACAGACTCTACAAGCTCCCATGCAAGACAATGATATACCCAGAGCCAGGGTTCGAACAAGAACGCAGACAAGGTGACACCCCATATGCCCAAATGTACACAGATATTGGAGTCTACTACACACCAGCATCAGTGTTCAGGGGTGAGGTGTTTGATGGGGTTGATGCAGTTAGCCGATTAGAGACCTGGTTGATTGAAAACCATGGGTTCCAGCCACAATATGCGGTTTCTGAGCTTGATGAGAAGAAGTTCTGGAGGATGTTTGATGCAGGGCTGTATGAGCAGTGTAGGAACAAGTATGGAGCTGTGGGGACTTTCATGAGTGTGTATTACAAGTGTAAGAAAGGTAAGAAGACTGAGAAGGAGGTTCAGGAGGCTGAGAAGGCTCAGTTGGAGACACCGTATGCAGAAGTTGAGCAGGCGGAGTAGATTAGGGTTTGAGATTGTTTTGTGTTGTTTTGATGTGGGTTCAACTTCTTTTTTGTTTCAGATGTAGTTGTTTTCTTCTTGTTGATTTTAGGTGTTAATTTTCTTGTGGATCTTGGTGTAATTTGGATTCTGTAATGGATCTTTTGGTCCATTTAAATGTTAATTTGACCCACCACTGAGTTCAGAAAAGGATTTGCGTAATGAATTAGGCCGGAAGGTGTGGATGCCGTTTACTGATGTCTACCGTTCACTGCACCAGCCACCAGGGTAGACCATACACTTTCTTTCCTTCTTTGATTGGCCAATGGTTAGAAAATATTATTTTTTCCTTTTCTTTTTCCGTTTTCAGTTTTTTTTTTTATTATTATTTTTTTTTATTTATTTTTTTTATTATAATACGTAATTAAATTATATATATACTAAACAATTATAAAATATATATTAACATTTATGGTTTATTATTCTTTACAAAAAATATAATATTGGTATAAAATATATCTGAAAAAATTAAAAAAGTTAAGGAAAATAAAAGTGACATTTTTTGGTTCCGAAGAGAAAATGAAAAGCCATGGAATCAAGTCTTTACAACCCATTTTACATATTAGTTATTTTTTTTTCTTCCACCTACAAAACTCATCTTATAATGTTCTTCTCAACTATGGTTGTAGAACTCGTTACTTGGTACCTGTTCGGCCGACTACCGAGTGACGAGTACTCGGAAATAATCGGATTCAGTAATTCATGTAGAAATATTTTTAAAGAAATTATATATTTCAAAATCATAAGTTAAAACTATAAATTGGTTGAAATATATAACAAAATTAGATACATATGAATACAAAAAATGAAAAACACACAATTGTCTCACTTCGTGAATAATAATTGAAAATTTAAAAAATATATGTAGTAATAATCACATGTGTGTGTGTTAAATAATAAATAATTAAGTATATTATACATATTAATCATCGAGTTGGCCGAGTTTTACGACACTGCTTGCTTCAGTAAGGGGCCGATCGAGGAGTACTCGGATTTTGTAACTCGCCTCGGTAAGGAGCCGAGTAGGGAGTATTCGGACGAGTAATTGGCAAACTCGGCGAGTTTTACAACACTGTTCTCAACACACTTAACTTTTTTTATTTTAAAATAAATACAAACTAATTAAGAACATACAAAACTAATTCACAAACAAATTAAACATATACACACATGTTTGGTACAAGCTTTTATGCATGATGTACAAGTAATCAAAACATAGAAAAATGAGAGAGAGAGAGAGAGAGAGAAAGAGAGAGAGAATTAGTTTAGCTTCTTGGAAAATAAACCACAATACCTCCTACTGCTTAGAATCATCATCTTGGAGGTATCGACGATACCTCCCATCTTTCTTGCCATACCATCCACCCTTAAGGGATGTAAAGTGTTGATATCATAGTTAGAGAACCTACTGATTCTTTAAGGCAGTTGCGGACGCAAAATCTTTCGGTACTAGTGACAAAAATAAAATAGTAGTTGCACTTATATGTATAGTCGTTGCATCTTAATAAATAAACCATTTTTTTTACATTGACAGGCTGAAACGGAGTAGTGACCCGGAACCCCCTGGAACCACATAGCTCCACCACTGCTTTAAGGCTACCTAGTATGGGTCTAAACGCCATGGAGGGAGCTTAGGACCTCCACGACGTTGTGGCCACACCAAGAATGCCTCCCCACCCACCACCCGTTGATTTTTGTCGAAAATGCAACATAGGGGCGTCGGTGGAAAAGAAGACAACAGTCACGTTTAGTCACTTTGACCGTTGAAAATTAAGTTTTTTAAAATAAATTATTTTACTTATTTTTTTAACCTATAAATACATGCAAATATATCATTCTTTACATCATTTCAAAATTTTCTTTCTGTACACAATTACACAAACTACAACAATGAATCAAAACACAAACACCCTCCACCAAACCGAAACCCACACTCAAACATGTCCTCCTCCATGGGATTCGCTGTCTTATTTTAATTTACTTAACACCCAAGGTTCACCGCAAATTACTTAAATGTTATGTTTTACAAAATTATTTTAGTTATTTATTAAAAAAAGAAAAAGGGACAAAAATGTGACATGAAAATTAAAATGTAGTGGTTTGTGGTGACAATTTCTTAGCAAAAATAAAGTAGTATAGAGAATTACATCGCATGTGATATTACAAAAAAAAATATGAAGAGTGTGATCCATATCCATCAACTTAAGTGAATGAAATCTATTGATTTCTTAAGTGAATATTTTTTCTTCTTAGAGAGCCCCTTTGAATTTGATTCGTGTGTCCAGAGTTAATTTGGACAAAAGAGGAGTTGATGTTGATTCCATTCTTTGTCTTATCTGTGATTGTCACATGTTGATCGGGAATCACTTATTTTTGTCTTATCATTTTAATTTGTAATTTCATTATTGAAAAAACGTTGCCTTAAAAGCGGTCATCCAAACGACCATGAGGGTGCTTTGGAGTTATAGGAATTATTATTTTTGAAGTTACAAGAACCAATAAAAGAGGTCCTTTTGATAGAAATATTGTCCAGCCGTATTTTTGGATTTTCAAAAAGGAATCAAAATGAAGGTCAATCAGATCGGATGGTTACAAAACCGGACTGATATTGGCTATTAATGATTTGTAATTTTTGATATATTTTCTAGCTTTAACTACTATAATATAATTCAGTTGTTCCAATATTTTTTTATCCCTAGTGACTTCAACAAATCAAAATTGTTTAAACCAACGGTTTACCACCCATTTATAACTCGTTTTCTTTTCTTTTCAATTTACTATTTTTCTTAACTGATATATAGTTGGAGCAACTGCCTTTTCATAAGGGACTGGGTTATGGACCATGTTTGAAACTCATGTATTCTCCTTTTTATTCATTATCTTTATCAAACATTAGAACTCAGGGCAACCATGAGCTTTGCAAGTGATTCCATTCAAGAATCAAGATATTGAAAGTAAAGTTGCATTATATTATTCAATTATATTACTATATAATTATATAACATATTGTATAATAAAGATATATATATTTTTTATAAATTATATTATACATTAGTAATGTATGTATATTAATATTGAAGTATAATATATCTTGTATTGTTTACTTTATAACAATAACTTAGTAATTCAAATGCAATGTTTAGATTATTAAATGCATGAGTCTTTCTAGCATGAATAACTCATCTCTTTCATCAGTCAAAAACTTTTGTACTTTTACATCATATCAAGTGATCACTTCTTGTGAGTCTTTCTAGAATTCCAAGAACCTAACAGACATCTAGTTGCTGAATAGGGGCACCCAAAGAACCTCACAAAATTCTGACAATCTTTTTTACTCGTTCGATTTGTCCCACGAGAACTCAAAAGACTTAAATACGTTTTCCCTTGATAAATGTAAGACAACTGCTGCCACAAAAGCACACTCAACCCTATTTCCACTGCAACACTTGCAACACAAAGATAAATGACAATAAAACCCCTCACAGATAACGACTCCACAGACTCATAAAACGAAAACCCAACTTCCTTAACCCATGCAACAATCAACATGTAGTCACCGGGCCCACTCAAAGCAGCCATAGGTATGTGTCTCACAGGTGGCAATATACCAAAAGCAGTGAATGAAGATATCAGAGAGACATAGAAACTACTTATCACTGATGAGATCAAGAAATAGATGAACACACGGTGATTTCCAGCTCCCACACAATTCCCAATCTGTAATTATAATCATTTAGTAACAGCTCATGTATGTATGTATGTATGTGGATTAAGATGAAACTTACAAAGGGACAATGATGATCCATGTCTAATACACACATGCCACAAGATCGACAATGGTGAGAATTAGGGGATTTTGGCTTTGAACAGTATTTACAAAAGGTGTAACCTGCAAGACCATTTTTTCCAACTGCAGGGTAGCTACCCCAGGCGATGAGAGGGGGTGTACCAGGAGACCGGAATGCAGAAAGGGCAAAAGTGGTAATTGTGGTGATTGATAAAAGAACTGCTATATTCATATGGAATATGCCAAAAAGGTAACTTTTAGAGAAGATTACAGGATATATAGCCCAGATACCACCACCTGTGTGTAGTCAGATTAGTTTGTAAGTTAAGTAATGAGTTAAGGGTATGGAGTTTTACCTATAATGAAGAACATGAATAGTATGAGAACACAGAGAAGGCATCTGTCTCTCAAACGTATCCACCAAATGTACTTGTTGTCCTTTTTGATTGCTTTGTGATCGGATATGGCTCCACACCAACCACACTTGAAAATGGGAGTATAGGGTGAAAGAATAAGGCATAATCCACATCCCCAGCAGGTTACTTCGTGTTCTTCTGTTATGGCTGCTACATGATGATCTTCCTACAAAAGGTGCAAATTGAGAAGCAAACGAAAATGTATACAAGTAGTAATTATACGACAATGATGAAGAATAAAAGTAGATTAGGGTAAGCAGCTGGAGAAGGTAATTGAAGAACAAACTTAGAATACAACTGTTGTTGAACATTCCTTATGTATCATCGAATTTATGTTTCAATTAATAAACACGAATAGATGATAACAACGATTACAATGAATGTTGCAAAACTTTCCTCCTCATCGACTAAATGCAATATAGATAAACGAAAACAAAGATTTATCGAATATGTAACCCGCATCAAAATTCGAAATGATGAGAAAAAGGATTGATCTATGTCATCAATTGCATTGTAATAATATGAGGCGGAGAGTACCTGTGAGGAAGCATTTTGGAGAGTGGAGTCAGATAGAAGAAGGGATGATTCAGACGATGCCGCTGGCGGTGGCGGTGGCCGTGGAATAGTTGTGGTGGAGGTGGTGGAAGAATCCGTGAAATCCATCAGAAATACACAGATTTCCAATTTGAGGAGAATTCCGTTCCTCGGATTCAGATCATCAGGAAAGAGATCACTCTCTCCATCTGATCATAAGCACTCCGGAAAATTAAACGCCTTGCCTCCAAATCCAATCATAAAGAATCATTCCAAGTTATAGGGGGATGATTCATTGTTTGAGTAAACTACAAATTTCGTCCCTAGACTATATATCAATGTAAAGTTTAGTCCATTGAATTCTTATTTTTCGTATTATTGGTCCAAATCGATTTATTACTCGGTTTAG